GGGACTAGCGTTTATTGGAATAGCATTCCAGTAGAATTTTGTTCAGTTAGGGAATAGTTAGGAGTTAGGGGAGGAATTGTTCGGTTTGTTAGTAGTTCTGTTAATTTGTTCACTGTTAGGGTTATATAAATAAATTGTTACTTGTTACTTATAAAGTAAATATCAGGAATTTTCTTTCATTTAACCTCCCCTTCTCCGTAACAGTTTGGTCGAGAAAATAGAAGGTATGGTTAGTAAATTTGCGGATGACACCAAAATTGGTGGTGTAGTGGACAAGTGAAGAAGGTCATCTAGGAGTACAATGGGATCTTGATCAATTGGGGCAGTGAGCCAAGGAGTGGCAGATGGAGTTTAATTTAGATAAATGCGAGGTGTTGCATTTGGTAAGACAAACCAGGGCAGGAATTATACAGTTAATGGTAGGGCTCTGGAGAGCATTGTCAAACAGAGACCCCGAGGGGTATGGGTATGTCATTCCTTGAAAGTGGCACTGCAGGTAGACAGGGTGGTGAAGGTGGTGTTTGGCACATTTGCTTTGCATTGAGTACAAGAGTTGGGATGTCTTGTTCCAGCTGTACCAGACATTGGTAAGGCCACATTTGGAGTACCGTATACAATTTGGGTCACCCTGCTATTGGAAGGGCGTTATTAAACTGGAAAGGATGCAAAAAAGATTTACAAGGCTGAGACTTTTTTTCCCTGGAGTGCGGGAGGCTGAGGGGTGACCTTACAGGGCTTTATAAAATCATGAGGGGCATAGATAAGGTGAATAGCCAAGTCCTTTTCCCCAGGGTGGGGGAGACCAAAACTAGAGGGCATAGGTTTAAGGTGAGAGGGGAAAGATTTAAAAAGGGCAACTTGAGGGGCAACATTTTCACACAGATGGTGCTGTGTAAAAGGAACAAGTTGCCAGGGGAACTGGTAGAGGCGGGTACAATACAACATTTAAAAGACATTTGGACAGGTACATGGATAGGAAAGCTTTAGAGGGATATGGGCCAAAAACGGGCAAATGGAACTAGTTCAGTTTAGGAAACCTGGTCAGCATAGATGAGTTAGGCTGAAGGACCTGTTTTCATGCTCTATGACTCTCTGATTCTATGAAAGATATTACTTCATTGGAGGTGGTTCAGAGAAAGTTCACTAGGATGGCCCTTGATATAGAGGGATGTGCTAAGAGCAAAGGGTGAACAGCTTGGGACTCTAGTCACTGGAGTTTAGAAGAATGAGGGATGATCTCATTGACATATATAGGATTTTTAAGAGGCTTGACAGGGTAAATATTGAGAGGATGTTTTCACTCAGGGGAGATTCTGGGACCAGAGGGCATAGTCTCAGAATAAAGGGACACCAATGTAAAACTGAGGTGAGGACAAATTTCTTCTGTCAGATGGTTGAGTGCCTTTGGAATTTCTTGCTACAGAGAGTTGTGGGGGCAGAGTCCACATGTGTACTTAAGGCTGACAGAGAAATTCTTGATCAGTAGGGGAATGAAGGATTATGGGCCATGATGGGCAGGAAAGTGCACATGAGGAATAGCGGAGAAGGCCTGGGGGGGTCAAAAGGCCTACTCCTGCTCCTATTTTTTATGGTGTTAAGGCCAACTGAGAATTGGCAAATATGCTGACTTTGCCAGTGAATTGCAGCCTCTGGGATTCGTCCAACCAAAGAAGTACCATATCTGATAGGACCATTGGTTATATATATATGTTGCAGATTGTGTTGTTTGCAAAAATCTGTTGCCCGTATTATAATGTGCACCAAGTCCTGTTCATCCAGTACTTGCTCATTTACATTGGCACCTGGCAATGCCTTGAACTTAAATTCTCATCTATGTGTTTAATTCTGTCAGTCAATGGCCTCACCCTCCCTGATCCGTAGACCATTCCAGCACTACAACTCTAATTGCTGCGCTAATTCCCGATTTTCATCCCTTTAACTTACCTCATCAACTTGGTGACTGTGTCTTCAGTTGTCAAGACCTTAAAGTCTGCAATTCTGTCCAAATTTTTGCAGCTCTTGCTTCTCCCTAAAACCCACCTCATTGGCCCAATTTTTAGTTATTTGTTTCAGTTACATTTTGTTTATGAATCTCATTATCAAGTATTGATTAAGGATGCCCCTCTGAAACACCTTTGGTTGTTTTACTACGTTATGTGCTGTGTGAATACAACTTGTCATCTTGATGCTTTTACCAACCTATTCAGAAATAACTCTGGAGAAGGTGAGGCTTGAAACCAGGTCATCTGGCCTACAGGTAGGGGCACTACTACTATGCCGCAGGAACTCTGCAAGCTGTATTCTTCAGTAACATTTTGAGCTCCCCACACAAAGCTGTGCCATAGCACAATGTGTAGGGTTTAGGAATCAACATGCTCAGTGTTCAAACTGTTTTGCTCATATTTTATGTTAACTTCTCCCAAATTTACTGTACTGAAGTCCTTGCTAATTGTTTCTTTATTTGCTAATAGGTGATGAAGTTTTTTAGACCCTTGTTGAAAACATCAGGTTAAGAACAATCAGCAGTTTCTGAAAATCTCTTGGATTGCTGGAAAGACAATTTATGGTAGTACAATCTGAAAAACTATTCTTCAATTGCTGGAAAGTGACACACATTGCCAAAAGTTTTAGCCTTGCGCTCATCGGGACAAATGCAATAATGCCAAATTTTTGACAATCTTGGTTTGCTTTCTGTTGCATCCTTGTAGATTGTTGCCCTTGCCTTGCTGACCATACAATGCAGGTGAAGGGGTTAAAGTTATAGAGTCATAGAGTCATACAGCGTGGAAACAGACCCTTCAGTCCAACCCATCCATGTTGACCAAGTTTCCCAAACTAAACTAGTCCCACTTGCATGCACTTGGTCTATATCCTTACAAACCTTTTCTATTCATGTATCTGTCCAAATGTCCTTTAAATGTTTTCTGTACCTGTGTCTACCACTTCCTCTGCCAGTTCATTCCATATATGAACCATTGTTGGTGAAAAAGTTACTTCTCGGTAACTTTTTACTGAAGTTTTCAGTAACTTTCAAATCTTCGCCTCTCACCTTAAAATTATGCCCTCTAGCTTTGAACTCCCCTATCCTGGGGAAAAGGTTTTGCTATTCACCCTATCTATGCACGTCATGATTTTATAAACCTCTAGAAGGTTACTCCTCAACCTCCTACAATTCAGTGAAAAAATTCCAGTTTATCCAGCCTCTGCTTATAACTCAAATTCTCCAATCACGGTAACATCCTTGCAAATCATTTCTGCATCCTCTCCAATTAAATAATATCCTTCCTATAGTAGGGTGATCAAAACTGTACATGGCACTCCAAAAGTAGCCTCACCAACATCCTGTATGACCACAACATGATGTCCTAACTCCTGTATTCAATGGTCTGAGCAATGAAGACAAGTGTGCTAGATGTTTTCTTAACCACCTGACACAATTTTCTGTGAACCATACATCTGAACTCCTCGGTGTCTCTGTTCTACAACACTCCCAAGGGCCCTTCCCAGTCCTGATGAACAGTCCTGATCTGAAACGTGGATTTTCCTGCTTCTCTGATGCTGTATGACCTGCTATGTTCCTCCAGTTCCACACTGTATTGACTCCCAAGGGTCCTACCATTGACTATGTAAGTCCTGCCCTTGTTTGTTTTACCAAAATGCAATACCTCACATTTATTCAAATTAAACTCCATCTGCCACTCCTTGGCCCAACTGATCAAGATTTCTTTGTAATCTTAGATAATCTTCATCATCATTTACTATACCACTAATTTGCATGTCATCTGTAAACTTACTAACCATGCCTCCTATAATCTCATGCAATTCAATTATATAAATGAGAAACAGCAGTGGACCCAGCACCAATGCCTGCTGAACACCGCTAATCACAGGTTTCCAGTACAAAAAACAACCCTCCACCACTATCCTCTGCTCCTACCAAGATAGGAGAGGTTTAAAGCTTTCACTGGAGTGGAAGGGGGCAGATATGGTGTGGTGGTAGTGTCACTACTCTGAACCAAGAGGCATAGGTTCAAGGCCCATCTGCTCCAGAGGTGTTTAATAATATCATAATGATATCAGAAAATATCATAAAACTTTTGTGACATTATTAATAAGCCATCTAGCAAAGCATGTGCAAACTAACAAACAAGGCATCCAGGTTGTCAAGTTTAATAGCCAGAAGTCATGTTATCAAACTTTGGTGAGGAACACACAATCCCAATAAAGAGTGGGAAACAAAAATAATATGGGATCCATGGATATTGAAATGTGGGAATTGTAATATACATGCTGTAATCTACATCTCCGGAATTCAGCAGTGTGAGCTTTGACCTGTGTTAAAGTCATCGCAGCAGTGGTGATGGACATATGGACATAGTGCACTCCAGGCACATCCAGAATAACCAATGAGATAAGCTATATGGTGTATAATGAAACACATCTCTATGAAATAAGCTCTGATGGTAAAAGGAGAGGGAGATGGATTGGAGGGCGTTGGGTGGAGACAATTGCAGAGATTCTGGTGAGATTTAGAGGTGATGATAGAATCTTACATTTTAGATGGTGGAGAGGGGGGAATGTTTAAAGCTGGGACTGAGGGGTAGGGTTTTCAACCTTCCAGGATTGCTTGTGAATCTCCTGCAATTGGAAATATATCAACAGGACATTGCTGAGAGAAAATACTTGACAGGAAAATCATTTATTCCTCCATATCCTTCAAACATTTTCGTAAATTAGTTGTGGAAAGCAAATGCAAAAACGGACTGTTCAATTTGGCTGATGTTGGAGGAGGAAGATCCTGTGTTGAAACCTTCAGATGGAGCTTCAATCAGATTGGGTAACCTAGTGGAGTGTGTGTGGGAATTACGGGGCTTGATTCAGTGGTACCCTCCCTCACTAAGCTTTGGGAAGTCAAACAGTGACATGGCAATTATCAAAGCCTCATTGACTCATCACATTTATTGAGCTTAAAAAAGAAATCTGATGCGCTGGAAAGAAAACATGTTCACAAACTATGGCATTTTATTTCAAATGGAAGCCTTTGAATTTGCTTACTTTTTTTTTACAATAAATTACATAATTTCCAACCTTTTCTGGAATCTAATAAATATTATATACCTTTCAATAAGTTCTTTTTAAAGTACATGAAACTGTCAAACAAAGGTTCCACAGTCATGTACAGGGTCAAAGTTTTCTGTAACCATTGTCAAAAAGTTATTTTTAAAGAGCACAAGCTACACAGACCAAACAAATAGGTTTTTCCTACAAAGATCCTGTGTTAATTTAGAGGCGAATGAAACCCAACAGTTACAAACATAAAACCATCTGGCAGCTCTTGTGAAGAGATGCGCACCCTCTCACACTTTGTGATACCTTTTAAAAAAGATAAAAAGCAACATGCTAACTTTGAATCCAGGTACACCAAAATTGCCATAAAAACAGTGAAACACTCTGTACAGACACGTGCAGTGCATTGACAGCACTGCTCCTTAAATACAACTCCAAGGTGGGGTGTTGGGGAGAGGTGTCCTAAATATACAAAAGGCATTATAAAAAGTAAAGGGATCACATGTATCAGACAATTAACAGACTCATTGTTACGTACAACATAAAATCTGGGCAAAAAGGTTTAATTGTGTTTTGTTTATTCCAGGGCGTGGCTGTGTACTGTCTACCTTGATTTCAAATTCTCCAATGCCACTTCAATAATCACAGCAGATCTCAGAATGCAGGTTGGCAGCTGCTACACAGCCTGGATGTGTACATAGGCTGCTTTTGATCTGCCTCGCTAATGATAAAATGAGCATTAGAAACCAAGTATTTTATATGCTTTCAGGAAAAAAAAATTCCCTTTCATTTACAAGGAAGAAAAAGAACCCACAAAAATAGAACTTGTCATTATTTCCCTAGAATAAATATATCTTTTAGGCTGGCAAGTACAATGTTCATTATACACAGGTTTTTTTTTAAACTTTTTTTTTTTTTACAGATTTTGTTAGCTATTTTCTCTCTTTTTGAGGAAATGTTCTGTATCAAAATTAAAGAAAAAATATCAATGACTTTATATAAAAATGACAAAATAGGTTTCCTCTCCAACTTAATGCGTCAGGGAAAACTCACAGTAACCTTTCCCCAGATCCAAACCTGTAAACACAAGGCAGTAAATCAGGAAGGAATCTCGTATGCGTTTTGGTTACATGTTGAAGGCTGATGCCAAAAGCACTCTGTTCCAGCACTCACTGCCCGCTGTAGTCTTTGAATTACCTGTGCTTGTGTTACACAAAATAACGCTGCAAGCAATCTCTTTTTTTGTTGTTGTTTTAAAAACAGTAACAGTAAAATTCATTTAAGAAACAACAAGCTTGTGCGATAAGAGAACTAAATTAATACCAGAGATCGTCAAATGGTCCAGCTTCAGTGGGAAAGGGGAGAGGAACAGTTCGAGCTTGCGTACATACTGCCGGAGCTGGTTAAAAATCGGCTGTACAAAATCTTCAGGCAAGGAACATAAAGAAGCAAAAGTCCCTTCCTGCCTCCTCCTTTTCCCAACCCCACTGCCCAAAAATAATAATGGTAAGGCCCACCCATCAACAGTGACACGATTTCCAGACAGACTGCAACAGGTTATTGCTCCGACAGAACACTTCATTGTACTTCCTCATCTTCATGAAAGTGCACTTAAGTGCTACGTTAGTTTTGCTGAGAAGTAGTTTTTTTCTTGTGGAGTATAGTGCTAACTCAATTGTTTTTTGTCACTTCGTATTTTTTTCTTTGTGCCTCTATCCAGCGTCTCTTTTTTTTAAAAAAAAATAATTAAAATAATAATAAAAATTAAAATACAAGTAGCCCCGGGAGCCATTTAAGTGCACTGTGCGTTGGGAGGTCCTTTCATCACCTACATTCCACCGACAGCCCATTCTGTGATGAGTTGGATACAGAAGGGTCAGCCAGCGTTAGCATGACAGCCGCCGTGATAGAGCTGGATGAGGGCGAGGAAGAGGAGGATGCTGTTGTTGCAGAGGCATTTGCTGTGGATAAGGAGAGAGAAAGTGTGAAACATTTGGAAATTTTCCTAAATGGAGTTACATGCTGATGACCTAGAAAAGACAATAGCTGCATTCACATCATGTCTTTCACGAACATCCTAAAGGGCTTTACAGCCAGTGAAGGACCTCTCTGAACATTGTAATGCAAGAAACGTGGCAGCCAATTTGGACATAGGAAGCTCCTATTATTATCAGTGTGATCATGGCTATATTATCTGTTTTTTTTAGAATAAATTACATAATTTCCAACCTTTTCTGGAATCTAATAATTATATACCTTTTAATAAGTTCTTTTTTAAAGTACACGGAACTGACACAGGCTAAAGAATAAATACTGATCAGGAAACCCCAACTCTTCTTCCAAACAGTGTTGAGAGATTTTGTACATCCACTTAAGACAGCAGACAACACCAGGAAAGGCTGAGAGGGTGCTGCAATGCTTGGGATGCTGAATTTTGGATGAGAGACTCCCTTTGTCCTCATGAGTGGATATAAAATATTATCTGAAGAGGAAAGTAGTCATCTGGTGTCCTGGCTAATGTTAATTCCTCACCCAACATCACTATAAAAACAGATTAGCAATGTAAGTTTTTCTTTTCTCCACCTTTTAACAATCATAATCAGAAGCCTGTTGGATGGAACCTACAAAGGAACAGAGACCCAGTTCTTCTCGGTGGCAATTATGGGATTACCTTCCAGTGTTTACATTCGTATGCCTGCCTTTAATGTTTGCGTTAAAACTCAAAATAAAGAGCTAATTTTAATGCAGTCAAAACGGGCTAAACATCGTCCTGCTGTGCAGTGCGTTTAACTTGAAGTATCCCAGAGCATTTCACAGGAATGTAACGCAGCAACTTTTAACACAGTCACATGGAACAACAACAGATGAGACCAAATACTTGGAGTTAGGTTTTAAAGAGCATCCTACGAGAAAGAAGTGAGGGAGCAAATGGGTTTTTAGATCAAAAAATTAAAAGCTAGTTGCATAGCAATATAAATTATTTCAAATTATTTCAAATGCATGCGCATGTTGTAAACTTACTATCGCGGTCCTTCTTTTTCATGCGTTTTCTTCTTCTGTCAATGGAGGCCACTTCTGATTTTAGGGAGAGGTAATGTCGCCTGATTTCCTGCAGCTTCTCTTGAAGGAATGCAATGCGTTCCACACTGCTCATGTTTTCAACATCAGCTGTAAAGGAGAGTTTTAAAAGAAAACTGACAATTGGAGCACTCCTTTTACACTGCCCACAGCCAATACAATCAATCTACAATCATAACGTACTTCAAATCTCACAACAACTTACATTTATACAGCATCTTTAATGTGGTGCAAACATCCCAAAGTGCATTACAGGAGACTTATCAAAAACTTATCGAAAATTGGGAGCGTGCAAAGGGTCATAATAGGAAGAGCATCAGCGAACTTCGATGGTCATAGGACTGGAGGAGCACACTTGGTAGTAAGGGGCAAGGCCACAGAAGGATCGGAAAATAAAATCTGAAAACAAAGTTTTAAAATAAAATTTTAAAATTGACAAGTTTCTAAACTGGGACCAAAGCTGCCCAGTATGCAAGCTAATGGCTAAGAGAGTGAATTTGGGTGGACCATGGTCATCACTGTTACAAGAGTCGAAGCCACAGCAACATCCCCCTTTCACAGGCCAGCTTCATTGCTGGGGTTAGCAGAACCCTGTTTGGAGGGGCTTCAAAACCCAGTTGCTCAACACGGTACTGTGGTATCAACACCTGGGTCTTTCAATCTGAGCTGATCTCTTATAGGAATCTGAAGAACAGGGGAGCGAGGGAGACACAGAAATAAGTCAGAATTCAAAACTAAAAAAAAAAAACAACTGAGTCAAAACATCTATTTAACAGATACAGTCATAGACATATACAGTACAGAAACAGATCCTCTGATCCAACTCGTCCATGCCGACCAGATATCCTAAATTAATCTGGTCCCATTTGCCGGCATTTGGCTCATATCCCATTAAACCCTTCCTACTCATATATCCATCCTCAATTTCTGTAGTCATCCAGCATTCCCTACACCTACCAGCCATGCCCTTCACCCTAACATACTGTCTATGGATTCTCATTACATAATTTTAGAAGCCATCCCTTTACCTGCGAAAAGCCTCTCCCAATCAACTCTTGAAAGCTCTTGGTGAATACCGTCAAAATTGGCCTTCCTCCAATTTAGAACTCTGACTTTTAAATCAGGTCTATCCCTTTATAGAACCATAAAGACATACAGCACGGAAACAGACCCTTCGATCCAACTCATCCATGCCGATCAGATATCCTAAATTAATCTAGTCCCATTTGCCAGCATTTGGCCCATATCCCTCTAAACCCTTCCTATTCATATACCCATACAAATGCCTTTTAAATGTTGTAATTGTACCAGTGTGCACCACTTCCTCTGGCAGTTCATTCATTACACTACCCTCTGTGAAAAAAATTGCCCCCGGGTTCCTTTTCAATCTTTTCCCTGTCACCTTAAACCCATACCCTCTAGTTTTGGACTCCCCACCCCAGGAAAAAGACCTTGTCTATTTACCCTATCTATGCCCCTCATGATTTTATAAACCTCGAAAGGTCACCCCTCAGCTTCCGACGCTCCAGGGAAAATAGCCCAGCCTATTCAGACTCTCCCTATAGCTCCAACCCTGGTAACATTCTTGTACATCTTTTCTGAACCCTTTCAAGTTTAACAACATTTTTCCTATAATAGGGAGACTAGAATTGCACGCAGTATTTCTCTAGTAGGTACATCCACATACTAAACCAGAACATTTTCTTGTACACTCAGGAACAACAACTGAAAAACAAAACTGTACATTTCTTGTAGATGTATACATTTTGTTCAGATAAACTATAAAACAAGAACAAACTTGCACTGAGTGTGTTTCTATTCAGAATAAGGTCAGTGTAACACCTACTGGGACAATTTAATTATGATAGATAAAACCCACCTACATCTGGATAGGGGGTTAATTTGATTAACAATCTGACTACCATATAGACTGGTGAAATACTAGGGCAATGTCTTCCTCTTGTCCTCCAAGCATCCCACTGTATAGCACAGGCCAGAGCTCTACTCTGCTCTAGAAGCTATGCAGAGCAGGACAAGTACACATTCTGGCCTTGCATATGAGACAGTGATACGCACCTCCTCCACCACCAAGCTGCAAGTGCCTATAACAGTAGATTTGATGAGTATTACTGTCTTAGGAAGGGAGGGAAGGGTCAGAAGTTCTCAGAGCTTTTTGAGAAATGCACTTGGACTTCCCACTTTAGTATACAACAGAAAACCTTTTACTGTCACACGGAGTCAGACTCACCCATCTGTACACTCCATTTATAGGTTCTGGATGACCTGCTGCTATGCTCCTGTGCAGACTCTTTCTCTCCATTCCTAGGAGACTTTCCAGGAGTCAGTACATTGACAGTAGATGTGCTCCCTGGCAGAGAGTTCATGCCTGTTGGTACCATAGAGGAACCCTTCTTCACTTGTACCAATTTAGCTGTGTTTTCACTTGCAGACATCTCTTCACTATCGCTGCTGTTCGCTGTATAGAAACAAAGAAAGATTTGCATTTCAAGACCTGGTGGGACATTGCAAAGTGTTTTCTAGCCAATGAAATATTTTTGAAGTTTAATCAACGCCATAATCAAGGAAACACAGCAGCTAATATTCATCCAAGCAATAATGCCCAATTTTTTTTAAAAATGTGATGTTGACTGATGGATAAATATTGGCAGGGACACTGCGGGAACAGCTCTGCTGTTCCTTGAACAGTGGCTGTGGGATTTTTCACATTCACCTGGGTGGCAGGAGCCTCTATTTAACATCTTATCTGAAAGAGCAGACAGCATCTTCAAGAATGCAGCACCCTCATGGTTCCACACTTGGATTTTGGCCTAGATAACATGGTCAAGTCCCTGGGGTGAGGCTTAAACTTAAGAAGATAGAAAGAGAGTCAGACATACAAGTGGCAGATGAATCAAGGTGCTAGATCCGAAGACACCAAGTAGCAAATCCCTCTTCCAAGTGACCAGTGATGGCTGCAACACCTTGTTTAATCTTGTATCCAGGTTGAGTTAGCACATTTCAATTGAGGAAGTGGTAGGCTAACGTTTCCATTAGTCTCAACGTTGGTGGTTGGGGCAAAGGAGAAAATAATTCAAGAAAGATAGATTTTCCCTTAAAGCCATTAGCTCAGTTGGTGAGAGGGCTAATGTGTGGTTCAGAATAATGGCAACAATGTGGGTTCCAATCCTGTTCAAACAGAGGTAGCCTTAGGACATATCTTCTCACTTGTCCCCGAGAATGGAAAGCAATGGCAGTTTTGTCAGTTTTCTAAGGAAAAATGATTCTGGATGAAGCACAAGCTGAACATTCATGGAATGCAATGGAAGGAGTTTTCCCACCTGGTTGCTATTGTCTGTCTTTGCACCCACACTGATGCACTCCATCAAAGGCACAGCATGTTGCTAAGGGTGGATGTCCCATCAGGATACACCTCTGACAGCCAAGACTCAGGGGGTTCAAAGTAGGGTGGGTGAGTTAATATGTACTCCCAAAAACACAGGGATCTTGTGGCACTGAATAGGAGACAATAGAAGCTCAAGAAAATTAAAGGAAATGGAAGAGCTCTGGGGAAAGAACAGGGGCATTGGGGCTAATTGGATAGCTGGATAAAACAACCCAGCATAGGCACAGTGGGCAAAATGTCCTCCATTTGTGCTGCTTGATTCTGGATTACATACAAGACAATATACAGAAATAGCTGCACACATTCACACTGCAAGGTCAACTGGTCCGTTTCCAATTCTAATTAAACTCTCCCGCTGATACATGGAAAGTATAGTGAAATGTCAGGAAGACAGAATATAGACTTCAGAACAACAGGCAGGCCGGTGGAATGTGCAGAGATGTGACTGATAAAATTTAATACAAACATATAGGAGGTGAGGCATTTTGGTAGGATGTGAGTAAATGCAAATGTAAAGGACATAGTTCTAGAGGGAGCTGGGAGAAGAGGGACCTGGGGTGCACCAACTTGTGAAGGTGGTAGGATAGATTGTAAAAGGGGTTAAAAAGGAACAGGGATCTTTGGCTGTATAGATAAAGATAGGGACAGATCACAAAAGCAAGACAATTATAAAGAAGTCAGATAAAGCACTGGTTAGGCATCAATTGGAGAATTGTGCCCAATTCTGAGCACCACAATTTAGGAAGGATGCAAAGAAATTGAGGGTTCAGAAAAAATTACAAGAATGTTTCCAGGGGAGTATCTTAAAGGAGATGGAAGTAATGAGCAGAGAAGTTTCAGGAGGGAATTCCAGAGTTTTGAGACTCAGCAGCAGAACAACTGTTAGTATCAATCATTCTCTCACTGAGAGCAACAAATGAGATTCCAGTTTGGGAGGAGGAGGGAACAAGATGAGGAAAGAGAAGAAGGGAATTAGTTGGAAGAATGATTCTGACCTGATTTGACACTTCTTGCAGATACCGGACAGCAGATTCCGTCTGGGCTAGGACAGTTCATAGTCAATAGGAAAAAACATACAAAAGCACCCCCACAAACATACATTACCACAGAAAATGCTGAACATGAGCAGCATTAAGGGTCCTCACCAGTCCGACTTTTCTTTTTATTGTTAATCCCTGAACGTTTGTGACTGCGTTTTTGCTTCTTGGTTGAACTTCCTCCCTGAGTGTCTTTTTGTCGTTTATGACCAGTAACAACTAGAAAGAAACAAAAAAATTGAAATCATGCTTCAAATCAAAAGAAAAAATCAGTGTCAAACAGAGGTTAACAGCATTATCCTGACTCTTAAAGCCTGGAATCAATCCTGACCTTGGTTAATCTTCTTTACTTAATACAACATGGACAAAAGTGGTTTGCAAGTGCAATGGCTTACTGATCATACAATCTGCATCGCGCCAGTCTAATCACATTACGCTAATGGGCCATCTGTTTTTGAATGTCGAACATCAGTATTTTATATTCAAACATGATAAAGCCTAACATTTTACAGGAACACAATGTTGACAGGTTGGATTGGAATGGGAGTAGCTGTCTTGCCGTCTCTACACAAGAGGGCACTCTTGTCAACCACATTGAATTTTTAAGCACAGAAACAGGTCATTTTTCCAACAATGTGTAAACACAGCAGGCCAAGCAGCATCAGCAGAGCAGGAAGGCTGATGTTTTGGGCCTAGACCTGGGCCCGAAACGTCAGCCTTCCTGCTCCTCTGATGCTGCTTGGCCTGCTGTGTTCATCCAGCTCTACACCTTGTTATCTCAGATTCTCCAGCATCTGCAGTTCCTACTATCTCTGAAACATTTTTTCAACAAGTCTATGATGGTATTGAGATAACAAGGCGTAGAGCCGGATGAACACAACAGGCCAAGCAGCATCAGAGGAGCAGGAAAGCTGACGTTTCAGGTCTGGACCCTTCTTCAGAAATCTTCAGGTATTATGTTTCACAACCAGTCACCCCACACTATACTCTGATCACCAAATTTCCTGTCCTCATATGCAGCCTTTGCAAGATTAACTTCTGGAGGAGACATCCACTAGGTGAGACCCAGTAACCTTTACGTGATAACCCATAGTTTTGGGACTAAACAAAGCAAGGATAGTAGCTGACAGACGTGAATACCGTGAATGCTCAAAATTTGAAGGTATTAGAAACACTCAGTAGATCTGTGCTGTGACAGAAAGGGAGTTCATGGTTCAGTTTGATGATCTTTCCTCAGAACAGGATGATATTTACCAGCTTTTGACCAAATGTGAAGAGAGTGAAAATGGGGGAAGGTTGGAAGTAACAAAAGGGTGACAGGGTCTATGATAGGATGGAGGACAGGAGACGTTGAATGACAAAAAGGAGAAGGGGTGGTAATGTAACAAGCATAGAAGCAGAAGATGGATTTGGAACAACCCTAATTGGTAGTTGAAGAACAGCACAAGGGAAAGAAACATGGAAAACCTGGCAGGGAGGACAGGGTGGCTGGGAACATTGCACAGGAAGGTGGGTACACTAAAGGAGAGCACAACAGCTCTCCATTATTAGCTAATTCACTCATCTACATTTTAGGCTGTGTTTTGTGGCCAAGGCATGCACATTCAGCGCATTGATGCTTTCATTTTAATATTACCAATCTTGAATTATATCCAGCTTTTCCAACACCTGGGCAAAACGTTTTAGAGGTTTATACAGCAGCTCACCATACCCTCAGGCCATCTCAAATCTGAAATGTAGCCATTATTATAGGGTAGGAAATGCAATGACCAGATTGCAGATAGTAAGATCCCACATGCTGCAAACAAGATGAATGACCAGATAATTCATTCTAATGATGTTCACTGTGTGCAGTTTTGATTTCCTTATTTAAGGATGTAAGTACGTTGAAGGTGTCGCAGTGCAATGTTTACTAGATTGACACCTGGACTCAATTTTGTCTGGAGCATAAATGTTGATCATGGTGGGCTTGTTTCCAATGGAGTTTAGAAGATTGAGGGTGACTTTATTGAACTGTACAAGATCCTGAATAGTCTAGACAAGCTAAATGCGGTAATGATATTTCCTCTTATGGAAGAGTCCAGAAGTAGGGAGCATCATAATTAGGTGTTTCCCTTTTAGGTCACAGATGAGAGCTTTTTCCTCTTCCACCCTTGTGTTATATCAGAACTCTCTGCCTCAGAAGACAGTGGAGGCGGGGTTATTAAACGTTTCTAGGGCAGGAGAAGATGGCAAAGTGGAATTCAAGACACAAACTAGTCAGCTATGACCTTTGTTGAATGGCAGAACAGGCCCAAGGGGTCAAATGGCTTACTTCTGCTCCTAATCCAATATGTCTGTATGTTGATTGAGGGATAAATATTGGCTGGGACACAAGGAAAAACTCCACTCGTCCACTTTGAACAGCATGATGAAATTTTTTACATCCATCCGGAAGGCCAGCCGAGGCCTTGGTTTAATGTTTCATTCAAAAGACGACTCTTTTGACAGTGCAGCACTCCTTGGATACTGATATCTGGCTGTACTTCATTAGTTGTGAAGCACATTAGGATGCCCTGACTTCAGGAATGCGCATCCTGCTTGTGTTTTGCCCCAATCAGACTCACTGTGAAATGAGATTTAGAGCTTTTGGTTCCACATTTATCAGGATTAAACCACCAGAGCGCTCCTTCCAATGGGGATCATACCAGTTAACTGCTTGCAGTGGAGAAAGTAAAAGCTAGGATTCATGGCCACTTACAGTCAATATTTCTTGAGTACTTGAGAACTAGGCATCAGTGAGAGAGACAAATGAACACTTCTCTGCCTTGAGTACACAATTAGTTACTTTACTGCAAAACTGACCTGCCCTGAACACTCACTGAAACTAAGTGGGCTGGAGGACAGCCTAAGCTTCAAATGATTTTGAATGAGACTTATCATTACCTCATGGGGACCTTATTAATATCTTTCTATTCTTCATCTTTAGACAGTGGCTAGATTTCTATTCTAAGCTGTACTGATCTCTTGAACAAAACTGAAAGAACTCACCCTTATTTAGTTTCTTTCACAACCTTAGGATATCTCAAAGATTTTCAAAGCCAAAGAGGTACCCTTGTTTTGAAGCGTAGCTATTGTTATCATGCAGGAAAGGAGACAGATAATGTGTGCACAACGAAATTCCAAAAGTAGCCACAAAATAGGTTTGGTACAGCACAGACGTGGCCATTCAAACCATCATCTCTGCAGCAGCTCTCAGAATGAACATGCCACTGAATGCTGTTTTCCTGCAACCCTGCATAATGCTTCTTTTCAAATAACGGGTTCTTTTTTTTTTGAATGCTTAGATTGCCCAGAACTCTCCTGCTGCTGTTTGTAATAGTTCCACAAGAGAGGGCAGATTTAACTTCTCACGTGTAAGACAGTACTTTTGACAGTCCAGTACATCCCCAGCACTGTACTCTGAATGTCAGGCTGGATCATGTGCTCAAACACGTTTTTAAAAATTCTTTCACAAAATGCTTTGACCCATACAGTATAGGTACACTTACAGTACTGTTAGTAAGGAAGCTGCAGGATTTTTAGCTCATGACAGTGAAGGAATAGCAATATAATTCCAAGTGAAGATGGTGTGTGATTTGGAGGGAAACTTTCAAGTGGTTATGTTCCAATTACATCTTGCTGATCTTGTGGCAGAGGTCTCAGAATTGTGAAGTGTTGTCAAAGGATTCTTGGAGTGATCCTGCAGTGCATCTTGTAGATTGTACACACTGCTGCCACTGTGCGTCAGTGTTGGAGGAAGTGAACATTGAAGATAGTGGATGGGATACAATCAAGTCAGCTGATTTGTTGTGGATATTGTCGAACATCTTCAGTATTATTGGAACTGCACACATTCAGGTAAATGGAGAGTCTTGTAGACGGTGGACAAGCTTTAGAAGTCTCACCTGCTCTAAAGGTGTGAAAATACACGTCTGATTGGGTTCATTAGAAAAGATATACCCTGTGGAACTCCTGAATGATATTCCGGGACTGAGATGACCACCAGCAACCACAACCATCTTCCTTTGTGCTAGGTTTAACTCCAACATGGGAGAGTTTTTCTCTCAATTCCCACTGTCTCCAGTTTTGCTAGAACTCTGAAGTCAAATGTTGCCTTAATATCAAGGGCACTCACTCTCACCTCACTTCTGGAGTTCAGCTCTGCTATCTATGTTTGGAGCAATGTTATAATGAGTTTAAGAACTGAGTGACCCTCACAGAACCTAAACTAAGCATCAGTTAAGAGGTTATTGCTGCGTTAGCACTGTTTTATATAACTTCCAATGACACCTTTCATCACCTTGCTGATTATCAACAGTAGATTGAAGGAGCAATGATGGACTAGGTTGGATTTCTCCTGCTTTTGTGGACAGGTCATACCTGGGTAAGTTTCCAGTGCCAGTGTGGTAGATGTTGTAATGGGGCTTCAACTTGCAAACTTCTGATTTCGAAGCAATGTTCTATGTAACAGCTCATATTGATCAGAGAATTTCCTGACATCATTATTTTCCAAGATGTTGTGTCTGAGTCAGAGGAAACTTCACCACAGCAAGGCACCAGGAATAGAACAGTGGGATTTATTCAGAGAAACAACTTGAGAAGGTAATTTATCATGCTTTTTAATCTATACTCAATACTGAGCTTGCAACATAAGAGTAGTGAGAAAATATATCTAATAGGATACAGAAAATTGCTAAGATGCATTTAGAAAATCAATTTGTGTTTAAAAAAAATGCAAGTTTAATGCACGTTGAGTTTAATAACTTTCCTGGTTTGAGCTAGAATTTCCACCTATAATTGAAATTGAAAAGAGGTACAATGCCAGAATGACAGTTTATATTCAATACAGTTAGGGATATTACAAGACTTGTAGGAATCCAGTGAGGATGTGCCACACTAAGTGCATAATGCAGGCTGACACCCCCAGTACAGCACCGATGGAGAGTAACATCATCTTGCATGTCCAACGTTCAACCAAGACCTGCCTATCTCCTCAAGAAGATGCAAAAGATTCTACAGCATTATTTTAAACAGAAACAGATAAGTTTTGTCCAGTGTCCTGGACACCAGTTCTTCCTCAACAAAAACAAAACTAATCACTTGTGGGATCTTACTATGTTTAAGTGATCTGTCAGAACATTACATCCATTTCTAGCAGGATTTTCCATGTTTTGATCACCCTCTGCACAGAAACCCCC